AGTGGAAATCTGTATTAATTTGTACCACTAAAAGAAAAAAGAAAACTAAGCCTTACAAATGGAAAGACTTGAATTTATATCATATGCTAATTTGTATCTTAAACAAATTTTAATTTTGCATTCATTCTTGTTGAAAAAACTCTCGTTTGATTCCATGCTTACTATATTATATAAATGTATTTTACTGTTGAGATCAATAGGGAATGATTTTCGAAAGAATGGCGTAAGTACAAAATCTGAGATTTTGTATTTATATGGTACCAATTACCACGCTTTTGCTGAGACTGTCGACTGATTCTGCTGGCAACGAAAGGTACTTTATTCATGAGATCAATAAGAGTGGAATCAACTAAAGATTACTTCAACAAGAATGAATGTAAAATTTAAATTTTTTAGTAGTACAAAATAGTTAAAATTCAGATCTTTCTACTTGTTTTTCTTTTTCTTTTCATATGGTCTTGCTGGCTTAATATTAAACGTCACTATTGTTTTCATTAATAGCGTTTTTTTTAAATAATATCTTCTTTTGGTGATATAAATTTTAGTACAAATTCGGGCCTTCCTATTTTATATATTTGTTTTTTCTTTTTTTGTGGTTCTGCTAACTTAATATTAAGCTAAGAGGCACCACCGTTTTTTCCAAAGCGGCACGAGGTACAAAATTTTTATTGGTGGTACAAATTAATACAAAATTGGTACTAAATATTGTAGTAGGTCTGGTTTGATTCTACTGAGTTGGTCCTGCTAGCTTTAAAAAAGTGCGGCCGAGTGAGTTTGCACGCTTACGAAAGAAACAAGACTCTTTCCGCTCATGCCCGCGCCTGTTTCCGATATCGTATCGAGGGAAGCGAGGAAGGAAACGCTCGGCGAACATGGGCCAGTAAATTTCACGCAAATATGCGCTTTCGAGCCGCGCTAATATTTCCGCCGAATGACATTCACTACATTCATTGTTCAAAATAGATCGGATGATTGTTAAATCTATAAAATACTCGTACGCTCTATATATTATCCCTCCCCGGACAAAATGGGGTCTGTGAGACTCGAACGAATATTCGAACACTCGGCATCTTTTGTGAAGAGTCCGGGAAAATTTCAGAATAGTGCAAAACTATTGGCAGATTTTGATTTGATTGCGCTATTGTCTTCTAGACTGTATTTCTAGAAAAAACTTTTTTTGTATCTCTGAAAGAAATTTTCCCAAAAGAATTGATCAAATTATAAGAACAGGGACAATAAAATAAAGATATCGATTTTCTATAAAGTTATAGTAAGGTAATTGTCCATATTACTGTGCCTGTTTCTATTATAATGTGCCTTTCTATTTAAGTATAAGCTATAAAAAAAAAATTAGCACGAATAAATAGAAAAAGTATTCTTTAATTATTTTTTTGAAGTATTAAATTTAATAAAAAATATTTTTATATTTATTTACGCTAGTTTTTTACGGCTTATTTAAATACAAAAGCACTCTAACAGGAACAGTTATATGGACAGTTATCCTAGTTCAAAAAGTTACTCGTATCTAACAAATCTAAATTGTAGTGTATATCTCAAAAATATCATTATATATACAGGATTATACATCGTGCATCGTGTGCATTCACACTCTCTTAAAATGCACTAAGAAAAAATATTTAAAAATTTATTTATGGGATAAGTATTTATTTGTGAGTATTAGTATTTATTTTTGTGTAATAAAATTTATTTCTGAGAAAATAAACTTCATATCCCACAAATAAATCTTCAAGTATTTTTTTCTTAGTGTAAATTTTGTGTCAACAAAAATGTTTCTAATTGAATCAATAAAAGGATTATTTTACTGATCGTCAGTGAGTATTCGCTGATTTTCAGTGAAAACACTCCTGCTTTATTCCATCTTATTTCTAACTGATCTTGTCTGCAATCTATGATTTTTAAAAAGTATCTTCACAAAACTGTGAGCAGATGCCGCTGATCGCAAGAAAAACCAGGAAAAGGTTTTCCTAGAGTCAATAAGGAATCAATGAATAAGGGAAATGCCAATAGGAATGTGTAGGGTAAACCGCAACTGTGCAATTTATCCTATTTTCTGCTTTTCAGCAAAAACATACTTCACCGCTTCGTCTTACATATTATTGATTTTAATCAGTGAAAGTAAGATCTTATTGCAAAATCGGTAATACACAAATTCATTACACAAATTACAAATCAAACTTTCCATATTTGTGACGATGGAATTAATAGCCATGCGCCTTATGTGCAATGACACTGTATGTATTTTCAAAGTACATCAGTGATTGGAATAATCACTACTATTAACAGATTCTTTCAACGAGATTCTATTGATTGCAGTGCTATACTTATAACTGAACCAGCAGTTGTAAGTATAGCACGCGCGTTTCAGTGAAAAATACACCGATTGTACTTTGGAGAGAAGCATAGTATTGTCATGCGACGAGTTTTTGGCGAATCGTCGGAACTTCTCACAGAAGCGATGTTGCTGGTAATACGACAAGATGCGGAATTGAGAATTATTACATCCTACTTACTGGGAAGTTTCGAAGTTTCACGAAAGTTTTATTAAAAATTACGAAGATCTGCGGATCTATTGAGATCGCGGAGATCCCCGAGTGCAATGAGAATCTGAGTTTCCAAAACGCGGAAGATTAAAAAGTCTGAAAACCGTGAGAAGAAAAAAGATTTCAGATTTCTTAAGATTGAATCTTAAATTTGTTTAATCATGGACTTAAAATCTCCAAGCGCGTTAAAGTAATAATAATTATTCGTGCAAGGTAAAGAACGCAATAAAGCACACCGAAGGTGCATTTACGAAATAATTCAAAATGCAAAATTCCAGATGTCAGAAAGTTTCGCGTAAAAAGAAAAGAGATCAAGGAAACAACGCGCGGACGAGGGACTGCGATATCCTCGTTAAAAAGTTATAACAGCACTAAAGTTCGTCGCCAGATTGTGCCGAGTACTCGAACTCACCTACACTTCGTGCATCGGCGAACTGCCCGCTGGCACTATATGGGGATGCATAATGAATCTCATCACATCGTAAGTGCACCGCCGCACTATGTCTCTGTGTCGAGTTTCGAGGGTTCTAAGATGGAAATTCACGAAAACGGATTGTCGACAATTTCTCATTTGAATAAGTTCTCGAGTTCCCACGATCACACCCCGTATCGTTTTTCTCATTTTACAATAACTTTGAACGATAAAATATTTCTGGTTTCCATACATCAATGAATAACGTAAATATATTGAGCGCTCTTTGATTGCAAAAGCATAGACTGCCAATATCCTATTCTTCCTACTCATTGTTATACTGAGAGAGAGAGAGAGAGAGAGAGAGAAAGAGAGAGAGAGAGAGAGAGAGAGAGAGAGAGAGAGAGAGAGAGAGAGAGACATGTATCGAACATCTTCAATATTTTTCATGATTTAAATCTCGCCCCATTGATCAAAAACCGGAAAATATATCTTAAGATTCAGCAATTTTAATGGAATATATTTTCTATTCCATGAATAATGTTACGTAGATAAAAAGTTTTTAATTTTCAATAGGAAAAAATAATAAAATATTAATATATCTCATGTCTTACAAACAGCTAAACCATTGTTCAATGCATAGCATTAAACATTATTGTGCATATACATATAGCGAGATTATAATTTAATATAATTGACATTAGATTTTTGACTTGGTTATAAAAAGATAAGAAGATGATTTCTCTTGCCCTTTATTTTTTAAAATTATTTTAATTATACAGAGTGTCCGATAACTCATGGAAGAACCGCGATGTAGAGGTAGATTAAATAAAAAATTTCTCTACCATTTTTGCGAACAACATGTAAAATTCTAAGTTATTAATCAAAGAAGGTCCGTCAATGATCACTATACAATAGATAAACTATGATAGAGACATCTGCCACTATATGCTTGTCACTATATATTAGGTCAAACTGAACAAAAATGTCTACTATTTTCCAAATGATGTTTAGTTATCAGTTAATTAAAAAAGTTTGCACTAATCTTTTTTAAATTAATAACAAAACGTGATCATCGATAGAAAAATGATAGAGGACTTTTTTGTTCAGTTTGACCTAATACAGCAGCAAATGTCGTTATCACAGCTCAACCGTATAGCGTATGATCATTCGCGAATTTTCTTGGATTAATAACTCAAAATTTTACGTGGTTGTTCGCAAAATAGTAAAGGAATTTTTTGTTTTCTGTTTCACCTAATCTATCTGTACATCGCAGCTCCTCTGTAAGTTATCGGACACTCCTATATGCATTTAAATAATAATATATGTAAAAATGCTCAGACACATAAAACACTCAGACTGCGTTTACTCTGGATGCTTTCGTGCTGAAAGCATCATTCTGTTTTCATTACTCATCACATATCTGAGACAGAATGGTGCTTTCAGCTCGAAAGCATCCAAAACAAATGTAACTTCAATAGATGCTTGATAAATAACAATGCAATTTTAATTCTCACATTTCTCAATTGGTCGATAGCGGCGCGATAGTCAAATGCCGTTGACTACCAGTCTGAAGTTAGCTACTGGCAGTCTATACTTCTACCGTCCAAGATTGAGCCGAAATTAAACAAATTAAGATCCAAAATATCGACACCGATAAAAACATTCATGCAGAACGGATCAATTGGGAATAACGTTGCATTTGTCAAAATGCAATTTTCATCGGGCGTACGAGGTTTATCATGATTCGCCCTTAGAAGAGAAGAGAACAGAAGGACACTTATGAACCACCCTGATATCGATCGCTGCAATTTCCATCGATTCAAATATAAGTAAGTAAATAATTGAAAAGAAAAAGGTAATCGTGTGTCAGGTACGTGAACATCAACGTGCAACATTTCGCGTATACACAAGCAACAGCAATACGCTTGCGTGATTTTCACAGGCCAACGCGTGTAACATTCGATCGCAACTCGTCGTTGCATCAATAAAACAAAAGAAGAAGAAGAAGAGAAAATAACACTCACCCCAGCGTAGTCATCGTGACGATGGTGTACCAGAAGGCGGCAGGTATCGAGGTGAAGTTGGTGCCGTCGACGTTCTTCTCCGCGTAGAACATGACGGTGGCGAAGATGATGATGGCCATCGCGAGCGAGAACACGAGGAAACCCAGCTCGGAGGCGCAGGACTTGAGGGTGTAGCCCAGGATCCGCAGTCCCTGCGAGTGCCGCGAGAACTTGAAGATGCGGAACACGCGGAACACGCGCAGCGTCACGAACGCACCCGACACGTCGTCGTTGTCGGTGATCCCAAGCCCGATGTAGTACGGCAGTATCGCGACCACGTCGATAATCGACATCACGGAGCGCGCGAACTTGCACCGGCTAGGCGCGGCGAACAGCCTCAGCAGGTACTCGGCGGTGAATATCATCACGCACGCAGTGTCGAGGCAGAAGAACACGATCTTGTAGCGCTCGCCGCACGAGAGGGTGCCGGCGCGTCCCGGACGGTTACCGCACGGCACAGTCTCCACCACGTTCGCCAGCACGCTCACGGCGATGAAGAAGCCAGTTACGTAGTAGAATACCAACGCGGCAGTGGAGATGTGCGGATTCTGGAAAGCCCGCCACATCTTTTGCCGTATGTCGAGCAGCTGCTGGAGGGTCTGGTCGCCGTTCTCGCTCAGTTTGTCATCCATCAGCCGCTCGGCGTTCTCACGCTTGCGATCCCGGTAGTCCTCGTAGCAGCAGTCGCCGATCACGTCCGGCAAGATACCGAAGAACGCCAGTTCCTCGTCGTAGCTCGTCAGGCACTCGTGCTTCGGATAATGCAGCTTGCCGGTCCTATAGTAATTGAGAATGTGCCGGAAGATGTCCGGGTCCCGGTCAAAGAAGTACTCCTTGCTCTCCTCGTCGTAGAAGAATTCGCGCTCGTTGGAGCCGAGCAACGTGTCCGGGTACTTTTCCAGGGTATTGCGCCATGTTTCGAACCGACGGCCGCTCACGTTGATCAGCAACTTCTCGTCGTCGGCCTTGCGCCGGTCCTTCGGGATCGGCGGCGGTGGCAGTGGGTGTGCGGCGATCGGCACCCAGCCGATCGCCGCCGCGCGGGCGAACGGCAGCCACGCTGCCACCGAGGCCATGCTTGAAGGTGGAATCTTCCTTCAGGGAGTGCAGGAGAGCCAGAGCGTCGACCGAGCCCGAAAACGTCGTTGGCGGCACGCTCTACTTCCGCCTCGCCGAGCTCACTATCGACACGTCTAGTGCCGGCCTATCTCTTCTTCTCTCTCTCTCTTTCTTCTCTCAGAGTGACGACTCTACGATGAGTCCAACATCGACAATCCGACTCGCGCGCGCGCCGATCGTCCACGACAATCGGTCCCGCTGCGGCGAGAAACGAGGTCTCCTGGACTGTGCGAAGTATATCCTCGGGTTCACGATGATCCCGACATATTTACGGAGTCTTTTGAAGTCCACGGCGCTTCGTGCCGCTCGAGTGTTGGTTGATATCTTGTTTGCCGATATCTAAATATCTTTTTCCCCAACAAACCAGAAGCGATTCTTGTACTCTTGACTGGCAGCTTTCCAAAGATATCTTCTACAATCAGATCCAATAAGACCTTTGAACTTGAAGACTTCTTTCCCCTTCTCTCTCTCTCTCTCTCTTTTTTCTTTGACGAATGATCCACTTTCTGGATCTCGTTTGGACAAGCCGCTTCTTGTCTCAGTTATTCTTAGGTCAGCTCAAACCGACCCTCGTTTGGTTCATGCTTCTTCAAGTCCGATCAGTAGCGCAACTATTAGACTAGATCGCTCTTAAAAAATGATCGCGTTGCTAATCTCTATTTTTAATTCGATTTCTCTTCAGCTTCTAACGACTTCTCTATCTCCGACCTCAGCTTTCACATTCGGGTCTACTTGCTCTACACACGTTTCTCTCGCGCTACTTCCATCTAATTTGCTCGCTTATTTATCTACGAATCTATTTATTTACCTATTCGCCACGGCTGCTACTGCTGCTTGCGTAGCACTCAATCTCTCCGACGAAGCTTCCCCTCCCGGAAACAAATACGGTTTCCCTCGGAGCCTCTTGTCGTCGCTTCTGTTCTTAAAGATTCAGGTGTTGAAACAGTCTTTGTTACCAGGACCCGTCGCACCTCGCCGCATTCGTCGTCGCGAGGTCGCGGGTCACAGCGTGAAAGAAAAGTATTAACTGACCAAGCAATGCTTGCCTCTCCAACGTCGCCACGACAACGACGACGATGAGGACGACGACATCAGTGCCGACAACTTAAGATCAGTCACGGTTCTGGGGTTCGTCATTTCACGCCTGTCATTACTCGATAATTTCTCTCTTCTTCTCTCTCTCTCTCTCTCTCTCTCTCTCTATTTCTCTCTATCTACGCCTACCTCTCTATGGCAATCACGAAGAAATGTCGAGCTTAACGAAGTGACGACCGGCACGCAATGAAGCTCGAACCGAGCGGAGACACGCGCCGGGCCAACCAATCTCGTTTTGGCAACGTGCCTTCCACCATCATCGATAGCCGCCCCGCGGTAGCTCTTCGCGGTGCTCTTCAGGGTATCGTGCCGAAGATCTTCCACCTGTTTCGACTCGTTTGGCCGCCGTGCAATTTCGCCGCGAGAACCTGAGCTTTAGTCCCCGCCAGCATGCGTCTACCAGGACACTACATCCTCGAGCTTGCGGGATATTGCTTCGGGTCCCTATGTGGATACGAGCAGTGCACTCCTCGAAGAGGCGGCTACTGACGACATGGCTTGCCCACACACGCTCTTACCGAGACGGGATGAGCTTCACGAGCTCGTGTAACATGTGGCGAAACGTCCGTTCTCTCTCGACGGCAACACCTTGTTTCAAAGGCTCAAAGGAAAACGATCACGCGAAACTCGAGACAATGAGTTTAGAATTGCGAGAGGCCCGTCCACGCATTCGCGTGTGGCCTTTTGTGTCATTGATCGTGATGTTTGACAGTACGACACCTGCTGCCCGAAATTCGCCTCTCGCGCGCGCGTTGAGCTTTCCGCGAGATGTTATTTAAGACACTATGTATCGAGACACGCGAGCTTCCCTCAGAGCGTCGCTCGTACGTGAATGCCAGCTGGCTGACGACGAGAATGTTTCGTCTATTGCTACGAAGCTTGCGAGTATTATCCGCTCATATCTCGCTCTCGCTTTCCCGCGTAGTTCGAACTCGCGTGGACACGAATGGACGTAGCTGTTTACAGCGAATGGAAGGGCAGAAAAAACGCTTACGAGTAAACACCGAACAGTATCAACGAAAGAAGAGCGTTCGCAGCTTTCCGGCGTGCTTTTTCAAAGCTCCGCCGTGTTCCGCGTCGGAACAACAAAAAAAGGTATGTATCATTCGTTCAAAGCGCAATGCCGCGATGCGAGCTATTCTATTCACTCGTGCGTCGGCCACCCAGACAGCACACGCGAGCTCGTCTTGATCGCGCAAGCTCACCCGGCTTCGCCGTGTCCGTCTTCTGTCCCCGTATGGTCCCGGGCTCCTCTTATCAGCTCCTTTCCTCGTGACTCTCTTCCCGGCGCCCGTCGGAGCGTAAGCACGAAGTTGCCTCACCGACACATGCGACAGCAGCTTGCGCAAGCACCGCGCGTGTTGCCGCCGCGACGCATCCAGCCTGTCAAGCTTCACGCACGCTCGCTCCTCACGTCGTGCCGACGTGTCACCGATTGTAGACTGAGCCCGAGAGAGCCCCAGCTCCAGCTCCTGAGAGCTTCCACGACGGAGATGTCCGAGGAGCTAGCGCGTCTCCGCAAGCTCCGCCGTTAGGAGCTCAATCTTCCTCCTCGCCCGTCCGCTTCGACTCTGCTCCGCAAGCTTACGCGCACTACGATACGCTCGCAAGCTCGGCCCTCGCCGTTGCGACTCCGTGCGACTCTCTCGTGCCGAAAGCTCCTTCGCCGCTCCTTCCGCTGCGCGATGCGACGCGTCGCGCGCGCGAGCGGTGCGTACGACGCGCGCGTGCTGCGTGCGCGCGCGCGCGACCGCCCTCGTGTGTACGTTGCGCGCGCGTGTGCCCTGTATGCGGACACGCGTATGTGTGTGTGTATGTATGTATGATGTGTGTGTGTGTGTGTGTGTGTGTGTGTGTGTGTGTGTGTGTGTGTGTGTGTGTGTGTGTGTGTGTGTGTGTGTGTGTGTGTGTGTGTGTGTGTGTGTGTGTGTGTGTGTGTGTGTGTGTGTGTGTGTGTGTGTGTGTGACGCACGTGTGTGTGTTGTGTGTGTGGTGTGGTGTGTGGGTGGATGCGTGTAGCGTGTGCCTTTGCGCGCGCGGCACCGTCGCAAGCACGGATGGGGAGCACCCGCTCGATGAGTTGGCCGCTCGCGACTGCCGAAGCCCGCGGCCACAACGAGCTTGCGAGGTTCGCGGCGGTGCGGTGTGGTGGCAGTCGGCCCGGCACCTCCAGAGAAGCGTGGCTCTCGCCTCTCGCCAGAGAGCGGAGCTGCCACGTCGCAGCGCCGAACGCGGAGCGGTCACCTAGCCAAGGTCCAAATTGATTTTTACGGCGCGGCGGCGGTGGCGACGCGCGTCGGCGTCCCGACGCGGCGAACATTTCCCGTTGCCTGGGCAACCCCTCAACGATGACGTCACCACTGCCCCCTCCACTGCCCCTTTACCACACTGCCGCCTCCGACAGCCGCCTCACCGCCCCAACGCTGCCCTCGTATTTCCACTTTAGCCTACTTGCGCTTTGAGGAACGCTGGCTTTCAGCTTCGCCCGCTCGCTCCATTCGCGCGGTTCTCTTAATGAGAGGGAGAGAAAGAACGAGAAGGGGAAAAGGAGAGGAGGATAGGGGAAAGAGACAGGAGTTACCCACCGAGCCCGCTCGCTTCTCGCCTTTCACGCGAACCCTCGCGTATTTATCGTGTCGTGTGGCGGTTCCTCGTATTTTTGCATTCATTCATTCCTTCGTCCTTTGTCTTCATTGTCGGCGCTCGCACGGTGTTTCTTCACATGGACTCGCTCGTGTCGGAATACTGCGAGCTTTCGTCATTCTCCCTCGACGTCGCAGCACCCTCTTCGTTATGCGCGATCAATCTCTTGGCGCGAACCTCCTCGGGGGTTTCCCACTTAAGTTCTGTTCGCCAGCTTATATATTTTAATGTAAAGCCAGAGTCCGGCTTACTCTCCGATTTACTCCGCCACTCTCTCGCATAATCCGTTGTGCTCCACCTGTAATCGAGCTTGCTCCAGGTTAAGCGTACTTATTCCGGCTTAAGCTCGCTCGCCAGTTAACTGACTTTACTTCTCTTATGTTACATTACTAGCAGGATCTCGGGGGAAAAAGGAAGAGACGGGAAAAGCGGTTGCCGTCCGGATAATTCTGTCCGACAGTTAGGCAAGAGGTGAAGAAATCAGCCAGTGTCCCGGCCGCTTGACCCACATAACGGAAATGGTAAATAAAGTAAGAGTACGAGACGCGTTCTCCTCTGTTTCTTCGGCCGGCGTCTCCTGCTCGATAACGCCCTGGGCGACTATCCAGCTAAATCCGGCCCTATTACCTCCTTGTCTCCGCTCATCTCTCGTTCCGTCTCCTCGTAGCGAACAATGCTTTTCCATTCTATCCGCTCTTTCCACCACTTACTCTATTCTCTATACTTTCTTACTCAATCTATCCGCGTGTTCGCGCGTTACCCGCCGCGGCGCAGTCTCGGAACTTGCTCTTCGGGGTTCTTTCCGTTCAGCTTTCTCGTATTTTTGCTACTTCGCTTCCATCAGCAGTATCAATCACCATACTTCCACCTACGCATCCCGCCTGTGCCTCTCGTATTCACACCTTGGACTGTAATTTCGGGTCGTTTGTCTCGTCTCTTCTTGACAACCTTCTGTTTCTATCCGTTCTGCACCTTATCTTCTCTTTCAATCACGAATCCTTTATCGATTCTTGGTTCTGCTCGCCTCCTCCGTTCCCAATTCTTCATGCTCCCAACGTGTCCTGCATCTTAATTTGATTCCATTCTTCATAACTCATTTTTCCTTCCATTTAGGAGAAACCGCGTAACTTGCGAACAAGGCGGAATTTTACGGTTTACCAATGCATCGATCATTTGGATTTATGAAACGCTGGTACTTTATCAAGTTTCATCTGATAATATGAAAAGAATTGCGAGTAAAGGGTGAGGAAGGGGCAACTACGTTCAAGAGGAGTTCGAACAAACACGTTGTGTATCTCTCTCCCTTTCTCTCTCTTTCTCTTTACACATGTATACACGACACAGAAAATACATACAAAAAAATTCGTCCACTATAATCACTACAAGACTCGTATATCCGCGATACATGATAGAGGAAAGACACTTAACTGCTTTCCACACTAGCAAAACAATTGAACTTCACAGACGTTTATCTCTTCGCGCGATATTCGACTTGACAGGCATTTGATACAAAAACATGTGCGTGTGTATACATAAGACAAGCGTATGTAAACATAAGACATGCGAGTGAAAAGAGAGGCGAAAACTATTTCCTTTATCACCTAAGGTTTAATTATCAGAGACGTGTGTAAAGACTTTTACTATATAGAGGTATGGGGACTGCTAAGTAGCTAACTTCAAACTGATAGCCAAGATGTGTTCATCAACCAATTAAGGAATACGAGAACTAAAAGAATTAATTATGTCATTTATCAAGCATCTATTGAAGTTTATTTTGAATACTTTGGATGCTTTCATACTAAAAACAGCATTCCTATATTTGATATGTAATGAATAATAAAAACAAAATGAGGCCAAAATGTTTAAGACAAACACAACCTGAATGTTTTATAGATATTTGAGTAAAAGTAAACAATCTTTTTTAACCCTGATCTGCAATATGCTTTTTGCCTTCTGTTTCTTGTCTTCTGTTTCTGGTTTAAGGTTTGAGTCAGAAAGAGATAAAGAAAAAGAAGCAGGAAGCAAGGAGCATATTGTAGATCAGGCTATAGAGGTGTAGATTAGGTAAAAGATAACAAAAGTTCATATATAAATTGTGTCCCTACAGCGCACCCTTGCTGATGTATATTTACCTCCGAGAAGTTAATATATCTAAAACAAATTTTTTTAAATAATTTTTATATTGCTTATCAGATATTTTGGTCATTCTTTCTTTATTATTTTTATGTACTTTTTTATTTTCTCAAACCTTTCCTCAAACTTATTATGATTTTAGACAAATCCATTTCTTTTCAATTAAACTTAATTTAATTACTTTAATTGTGTTTCACACGAAATCGTTATTTTATTGCTTATTTCCCCTTTCATTGTTCAAAGGCGTTTTTCTCAAAAACCATTTATCGCAATCAAACAAGAATACCTTTTTTCAGAAAAAATTTGAAAAATCTATCTGTCGAAAAATTAAAAAATCCTACTCACCAAAGGTTGAGGATAATTTAAAATAATTGATTGCCGATATATCACTGTTGCTATTTTTCTTATTTGACAAATAAGAGTAAATTGCAAAAATAAATTATGACGTCAGTTCTGACATTCCACTCATGAATGTTAATTGACAAGATACTCTTCGAGGAATTGTCTCGTGCGATATCCACAATACTCAGTATGCCATCCGATCTTGCATTTCCACATCTGCTTATTTGATGAACGTTTCGCCTTTTAGAAAGAACGAGTGCTCTCGATTTTTCGTCGTTTTTCCCTTTATGCTCTGCCATACCTCTCATTTCCCGCTCGTTACCACCGAGCCCATCTCTGCGGATCACGAACTCCCTCCATGTTCTTTCGCGCTGTTTCATCTGGCAAACGCGCCGGCTTTATTCGAGAAATAATAGGCCTTCTTCCCATCTTACGTTTCTTTTTTTTTCTTCTTTTATACCGCTCTTCGCTCCTCTTCGGCTTCATTACCGCGGATCTCACACGTTTCCTTTGCACACCTGCTAAGTGTTACGTTATTCTTCTACTTCCTGCTACATGCGACAAACGCTTCATTTAAACTTCCGTTCATTCGTCTTCAACGGAATGATGCGCAGGTGGCTACCTCTTTCTTGTTATTTAGAGTAATTATCCATATTACTGGGCAATTGCTTATTTCTATCAGTGTGTCTTTCTACTTAAATATAAGTCATACATAAAAAAAAACTAGTGCAAATAAATAAAAAAAGTATCTTTTTTAATTAAACTAAAATATTAAACTTAATAAAAAGTACTTTTTTATTTATTTGTCCTAGTTTTTAAATACAATATAAAAGCTACTAATAGGAACAGGCACAATAATATTGATACTTACTCTAACTGGTCTGATAGCGACGTCTCGTTGAAGTGAATTAATGTACAGCGAATTTTCACTCGTCACCAATAACATTCACATCAGCAATCGGTGTAATTTAAAAAAAAATGGTAGCATTTTATACCGATTTAAAAATTGCTCGTGATAAACTTAGCAAAATCGTCGAAAAATGACCAAGATCAAACTTTGACTTGATTAATTATACACTGATTAATAATTAATTTTATCAATTGATTAAATTATTCGTAATTACATACATGACGCTTGATTAATTTTGGTAATATATTTGCCGATTATTTTAATCGGCTAAAATTTTAATCGACTAATGCCCAACATTGAAGGAGAACTGAATACTGAGATCCTAACTTGATATTGCGAGATAGTGAGTATACAATATTTAAGAGTATATTGCCCACATACCTCAAAATGATGAAAAGTTTTGGAAAAAATTAGAAATTAATCTATATCGTATTTAAAAATGATCACAAATAATCTGACATTGATTCAGAATCTAAATCAAAATCAAAAGTTATTCCACTTTAAATTGTAAGCCAAGCAACCGTGATGACATCATATAACGTTTTAATTATGCACTAACGACGTCTCTAACATCAATAATACGTCATTTGATGTCACCCTGTTACTTGGATATATTTTAAATCGTACTGTTATAAAAATATATAATATTGCTATTTTTAGTAAAGGAAAAAGTAATGGTAATGACAGAAATCTTAATTTTTATATATGTATATACTAATTATTTAAAATAATCTTTGCAGAGTTTCATTGTAGTCCCAAGATAAAAGTTTAAAAGTAAAAAATAAT